CAATGAGGTTGCTCTGGTTTAATTCAAACAGAGAAAACTGTTCACATATCATAAAGGATCAGGAAACAGACAGGATAATGACATACATAATCCTTATAATTAATTTAATAACTTGTAATAACTTGTCCCTTTAGAGGGAGAGGACAGGTGTTTGTCAGAGACCAAGACTCCTACATGCATATTTGTTGCATCCTTCTACTAGACTGTGAATTCCATAGGGGCAAAATCTATGTCTTATTTCATATTTAAATCTCCTCTAATACCTAGAATGGTGCATTATACATAATAGTCACTTTATAAATGTTATTGAAGTTGAAGATAATATAGGAAGTATTTTGAATCCAAAACTGAATTGTCTTCTCATCACATTTTCTGGGTCCAACATCTTTCCTATTTCTGGACCCTTTTATTCTCATTACTCAAGATGTACATGGGAAAGGTGAAAAAAAATAACATTATTCTAAGCTAAAATTTAGGAAGATAAACCCCAATTTAATTTTTTAATCATATGGTCAAGTGTAAGTGAAATTTAGGATTATCCATGATGTTGTTTCATTCCATTGATGTGGAAAAACAAGAATTAATTGTAATTCTACTCATTTCTTAACATTCAGATGTCGGAAAGTCACTCTAGAAATGCTTGAATTATTTTCATTCTTTGGCAAATCTAGATTGGAGAAAGAAAGAAAACTGAAATCTACAATTAATTCTTCTTCACCAGAAATGCAATACCTACTCTGGAGATTAAAAATAATTCACACACAAAGTAGTGTACCTACTTCAAGTTAACTAGGAATGAAATAATAAATTACAAGAGACTGAATATAAATTGTGCTTATAGGAGATGGAGACTGAAAAAAACAGTACAATTCCCTCTAAGTTAAACTCTCTCTCTTTTCCAACCCTAACTTCACTAATTCTGTAGTAGGCCATCCCATCAACTTCATGACGCCTTCCCCAATCTCCCAATCAGTAACAATCCTTCCTCCCTCAGTCCTCCAGCTTTGGGGTCTGCCTTCAAAGGGGGTGCTAAAAAGGTCATCTGAAATAGTAAGATTCTGGATTTGGAGTTAAAAGGGATCTCAGAGGTCATAGTCTAACCCCTTCATTTTACAAGTAAGGAAACTAAGACCCATAGATAGTGTGACTTATTCAAGGTCACACCGAGAGAAATTGTTGACTATTGGATAACACACAGGGTTTGGAGTTAGGAAAACCTGGGTTTGAATACCCCCCTTACACTTCCTAGTTATGTAATTGTGAGCAAGTCATTTTACCTGAGTCTTCATTTTTTCCCCTGTAAAATGATGATAATACCTATCTGACAAGATTGTTGTGAGGATCAAATGTGGCAGCACATGTAGAGAGTTTTGCAAATCCTAACTTTTATACAAATGTAAGCTGTTACATTGGCAGAGTGAGGGTTTGAAGGCAGGTCATCTGACTCTAATTCAGGCCTCTTCCCCTGTGCCATAACTTATTCTATTACTTTGAAACACCTTCATCCTGCTCTCTGCCCCTCCCTTCCCCATCTAGGACCTAATTCATTGTGCATATGCTCACTGAGTGAATAACAGATCCAATGGGTTCATAGTGACATGTAGTCCTAGAAGTGGGGGACATAAGGTTAAAATAATCCTTTTGACATGTCTACTTTCCTGCCTTGATTTTATTTTAACTGCTACCACAAGGATTGTTTAACATACACACAGGTTCAACCAACTCCAAGATTCTAGGACAAATATAACCTATAGGCTGGGAAGATAAAAAGACTCCTGAATCAATAGTCTGGGGGCTTGGTATCATAAACCTCATTTTTGGTCAAGTTCTGGCTTTGTAACTTAATTCCAGCAACTGAATTCTTGATTTGTTCCTTGTGATTGTGCCCATCTCATACCCTAGTTCTATGTACAGGGTCTCCATCTTGCCCATCCCCATGCCTGAGTTTCTTGCTTAGTCTATATGTTACCACGATAAAGAAAGCAGGGCAACTGAATCATGGAGCAGGCAAGAAGCAGCAGCTGCTGCTAACGGCCCTAAATATGGCATCAGCATGTCTTTTCCCTCTGAGGTGTCCAGCATGTAGCTTATATGGAGAGATAGTGCAAGCATTTGTGCTGGTGTAGCCCAGCCCTTATACTCTGGCTCTGCAGATGAACATTTTGGAAGGAAAGAAAGCCAGTTAAGACCTCTGCATGTAAAATAGTATAGCTGAAGATTGGTTACCTGAGCAGTTCTGCAGTTAGCTTGAGAGGCTTCTGCTTTATTTCTGAGTTTGAATTCTCCTGTTTTGTCTGTCTCTGGGAAAGATTTTTTTGGTTGGGCTATGCCTAAACCAGCTAGAGGTCTTAAACACAGCAGGTTACAGTGATGACCCTGTATGTGGTATCTGCATCCTTAATAACAACTTCTGAGCCTTCCTGTCTTCCCTCTGGCATGCCTGAGTCTTTGTGTCAGAAGCAATGGGATTCTTCTGGTACAATGCCATTCCTGGTACTCCAGTATCTCTTAGACTGACATCTTGCTTTGCTCTCCTCTCTACCTCACTCTTCCAAGGAGTGGAATCCTGCCTTCTGAACACCAGTTTCCATGGCTAGGCCTTAAATTACCCATTGCCAGACTTCTCTAATGCAAACCACCTGGCTCTCTGGAACTCTGCCTATGCCCACTGCCAGATCATCTGATGCTATTTGCTAATGGGATTTTTCCTACTATTGAACATTTCTGATTTTACCTGATTGCCTGTCAGACTACCTCCTATGGCTGACTACTGGGATTTTTCCTGAACTCTTACCCAATCTATTGGTTTGTCTAATTTCAAAGTTAAAGTTAGTCACTGAGTGAGTTAATGAATGAACCAATAGAATCTGGCTCATCCCACCAATGCCTGAGCCCAGATTCTGACATCCAACTCTTGGCTCTTGCAGCAGACAAAGCCCTGTTGGACAAGTTCATTAAATAGTTATCAAAGCCAAGAGTCCTGTGATATTATGTTAAATATATATACTCAACCCTGAATGAATCCCCAGGTTAATTTTCTTTTACAATATTAGTAGAATTATGTGTCATGAACCCTTAAAATATATTTTCTCACCGACCTCCCATTTCAACTCTGTTTTAAGTGTTAACTTCCCCCATTAGAATGTAAGCTCCTTGAAGGCAGGAGCTATTTTTCTTTTTAATTATGCACTTAGCATAATACTTGATACACAGTAAGTGCTAGATAAATTCTTATTTCCTGCTTATCATCTGTCTCCATGCCTGTGTACTGGCATATTCTCCATGTCTGATATATTTTCCTTCCTGATCTCTCCCTCTTAATTTCCTTAGATCTCTTTAAGACTCATCCTGAGGCCCACCTTCTGCATGAGGCTTTCCCTAGTTCCCTTTGCTATTAGTGCCTTCCTGTCTGAGATTTCCGTCTATATCTATATCTATATCTATATCTATATCTATCTATCTATCTATCTATCTATCTATCTATCTATCTATATGGAAAGGATTGCCATCTTTGCTTTTCTTTGTATCCCTAGTGCTTAATTATTACATATTATAATAATATACTTTATTAATTATTATTACTTAATATGCCTAGCACATAGTGTACACTTAATAAATACTCGTGACTGACTTGCCTATAATTAATACAACTATGAAGTGTTAGAGGCAAGGTTTGAACACAGGTCTTCCTGACTATTGTTGACTAAATTCAGTGACTTAAAAAAATCACTGAATTTATTTAAATAAAGTTCAACACTTTATTCATCTGTTTTTTGATGCTCAGATTTATACTAGAAAATAAAATGCATTGCCTGGGATTACAGTGAGTTTGAAATTCTATGAACATATCCAAATCTTTCTTCTTATATTGATACTTCAAGTATTCTCAATGTTATAGTGTATGTCATCTACTGGAAAAAATGTTAGGCCAAGGAACATTTCAGCTGGAATCCTGCCTCAGATACTTACTATGTGACCTAGGACAAGTCACATAACCTCTCTGCGCTTCAGTGTCCCCATTCATGAAATGAGGGAATTGGATTCAATGGCCTCTAAAGTCCTTTTCAGCTTGAGATCAAAAATCCTATGACTTTATGATTCCAGACTTTTGGACTTGCTATTGCCAAAAATAAATTAATCACCCTGTGGCCAGCTGGATTTTGAGTCTCATTGAACTTAGGCTGTTCCATGAAAAATAGTCTATCATCAGGCCCATTCTCTAAATTTTTCCAGCTTGGTAGAGCCTGCCAGAGCTTGTAGTCTCCTGGCACAGCCTTCCAAAAACCATGAAGGTCAACAGTAGAGCAGAAATGTTAAATGAGTCTAAATGACAGAGAAAAACACCACTTGCAACTAGAATTATTTTACTACATTAGAGGAACAGCAATTTGTCTGTTGTTTAATCAGCTCTAAGGCCCAGACCTTGTAACATGGGGCATTAGTGAAATCATAGAACACACAAGACCACAAGTTTTTAAGCCACCAGTCAGGCAACAAGCATTTCTTACTATGTTGCAGGCACTCTGCTCAGTGCTAGGGATACAAAGAAGATACAGTAACCATCCTTGCCCTCAAGTACCTAAATGAAACATTTTCAAGCCTTTAGTCAGACGCTGGGCCTTTCTGTCTTTCAGCTTTTGATATAAAATTTAGAAAGCAGACTTGCAGCCTTCTTAGATCATAACAATGGCAAACCTAGCTACTCAGGAGGAAACTTGAACCATACCTCTTCATTGCTACTTAGGACCCAACTTAAACAAGTCTTAAATTTGCTCCCCAGCTATCAGATTTAGGTGAACTCAGTTGAAACTAAGATAAAAATAATTCATGCACCACTCACCATGCTTGGTCACTAGTTTTGAAAGAGCTGGCAGAGTTGAGAAGCAGTGACTTGACAAGATCTTAGGTGAGAAAGAGAGATTATTTTGAAAGTTTCATTATGACCCAAATCTAATGATATCAGGAAGATTAGGCCAGCTCTTAGGAACAGAAGTACTTACAAATTATGATGAACATTAGCGAAAATGTCAAAAGGGCAGTGAATAATCCTCCCAGAGAGTATCTTTAAAAAACAACAAAAAAAATATTTGTCACATTTAGCAAGATAATGGGATGATTTCCGCTAGACACAAAACATTCCTTTAGCACCCTATGATAAACTTTCAAATAGATAATTTATCATGTAATGATTAACAAATCATTGATTTAAAGCTTATGAAAACAGTTAAGGTTAAATTGTTCTAAATGTATCAGGCTAGCCTGAATTCATAAGATAGATGGTACAGTTAATAGAGTGCCAGGCTTGAAGTTAGGTAGACCTGAGTTCTGACCTTGCCTCATATATTTACTGGCTGTGTGATCCTGGATAAGTCACTTAACCTCTCTCAGCCTCAGTTTCCTCTTCTGTAACATGTTAGGGTTGGACTTTATTACCTCTAAGATCCTTTCTAGCTCTAAATCTCTGATCCTATGAAAAGACTAAATTATAGAACATATTAAGACCCAGCTAGGTAATGAAGTGGATAGAGTACTAGACTATGATTCAGGAAGACTTGAATACAAATCCAGCCTCAGACATTCACTAGCTGTGTGACTCTGGGCCAGTTACTTAATCTCTGGTTGCCTCATTTTCCTCATATGTAAGGTGGGAATAATAATAGCACCTCCCAGGGTCATTGTGGAAATAAAATAAAATAATATTTTTGAAGTACTTTGCGAACCTTAAAGCATTTTATAAATGCTAAATGATTATAATAACACAAAATGCATAAAAATACATATAGAAAGGAGGTAAAGAAAAGCATTGTGGCTAAATAGTGGTCCCTGAAAAGATAAGAAGCAGGTAATTATTGGTGCATCAAACAGTTTTATCTAGCTCATGCTTCCGATAATTCACGTTTTCTTAATTTGGTTAGTACTTGATGCCCTTTGAAATCTTCTTTTTGTTATTAATTTATTTTGTATGTAACACATTCATTCAAAACTTGAGACCTTGTAGGTCAATATGATAAAAAAAAAAAGTTAAGATGTTGAAATACTTTGACTGATAAACCATTATTAGGTCATAGGATTTAAAAAGGGACCCTTGAGATCATTTAGTACACAGGTGTCAAACATGTGGTCCATAATACTCTCAAATGTGGCCCAAAACAAGTTAGAATGACGTTGGAAAATATTTAACAAAATAAAAATGCAATAAAACAGATATATTATAAATATATTATATTTTAAAACTAAGTCAATGTACAGCCCATAAGGATCCTTATGTACAGTTTAGTGGCCTCTGTTTCTATTAGAGTTTGACACCACTAATCTAGTTTTATGCAGTAGATAACTGAAGAAAAGACAGGTTAAATAGCTTGCCTAAATTCATGTAGGTAACAAGGAGCAGAGTCACTTGGTCTTAACCTCTTCTGTTATCCCCGTTTTGCGGATATGTGTGACTGTGACTTGGAATGGTTAAGTGAGTTGACCAATGTCACACAGCTAAATACGTCTCTGAGGCAGGATTTGAACCAGAACCATATTGTATTGATTCTCAGTCCAGTCTCTATTCATGACAACACACTGCCTCTCAGAGGTAGACTCTTTTTTCTCAATGGATATCCATAAAAGTGTTTGGGATATTAAATATTCAATCATTCATTCATTTAACAAGTATTTATTGAGAAACTACCACTTGTAATATGGTAAGCGCTAAGGAGGCACAAAGAAAGACATGGCCTCTGCCCACCTCTACTCCATCCAAAAATGACATATAATTGCATATCTAAATGATTAATGCAGATAATAAACAAAATAGGAATTTAGTAAGTGAGATCAATGTGATCAAAATAGTCCATAAAGACTTAGCAGGAAAGAGATACTTGAGCTGTATCCTGAAGAATAGGTAGGATTTGGAAAAGAAGGGGGGGAAAAATGAATGAATGTCATTCTAAATACAAACAACAGTATGGAAAAAAAAAACTTAGAAATGAAAATGACTATATTTAGAGAACAGAGAAGACTGGCCTCACTAGATTATGGGGTTTTTGCTGTTGTTGTTGTTTGTCCTTCATTCTGGAAGAGGACCATAACATTTGAGGGTAATGTCATGACTTGCAAGTGAATTAGATTTAAGTGAAGCAGAGCCATGCAAAGTCACCAGCCTCATTCTCTCCTCCTGAGCCATCTGGGTTCAGCAGCAAGATATAGTTTGGGACGACTGGAGATGGTTTTTTAAAGCTAAGATCTTTCTCAGATCTCAGCTTGTTCTAGGCAACACTCATTAATGCTAGGTAAGAAAGGAGGCAAAAAAAAAAAGGCTTCTTTTACCTAGTCAAAAGAAAAATCAATCTGGGAGAAGACTCTCAGGGTTTCTGGGCAAAAGGAAACAATTGCTATTTGCATTCACTCTGGTCCATCCAAACCCAAACAATGATCAAGGTAAGCTTGGGCTGAGACCAATTATTGGCCAATCTGTGAAAGTCAGAGTGATTTATGTATTAGGCATGGTCCTTAAAGAAAGAAATCTAGCCTGTAAACCCCAAGATATCTTGCGAGGTTTCAACCATCAAAATTTATATTCCTTTGGGCAGAGCAGAGTTATAGATGGTAAGGTAAGCTACAAAGGATGAGATCAGATTTTAAAAGGCCTTGAATACTAGACAGAAGAATTTTCATTTTATCTTATATGCATTGGGCAGCCAAGGTGATGATTAGTGCCTTTTTCATAGTTTGTGTTTTTTACTGGTAGATGACATTGAGAAGCCACTATGAAGGAATAACTTATCTGTGGCCCTGACTAATCCCTTACTTCCAAATTTCTAGGACAGGGGCCGGGAACCTGCAGCCTCGAGGCCACATGTGTTCTAGGTCCTTGGATGTGGCCTTTTCACTGAGTCTGAGTTTTACAGAACAAATCCTTTTATTAAGGGGATTTGTTCTGGGAAGTTTGGATTCAGTCAAAGGGCCATACTCAAGGACCTAGAGGGCCACATGTGGCCTCAAGGCTATAGGTTCACCATCCTTGTAGAACACTGTTTTTATAGAAGTGGTCAGCACCATAATTAGGAGGTGTTAACTTGAATCTTATGAGCTGAATCAGCCACTGACTCATTTATAGGTCAGCTAATCCCCCTGATTCCTTCCATCCCCCAAAGGTACATCCACCAGAGTCCCACAAATATATATACAGAACTGGACAATGCAGAGCAGTGGGCACATAGTAACAGTAGTAGATAAGGACCTGAAGAAGCTGCAGTGGGAGAATATGCCCAGCTTTTAGGAATAACCTGTATCACTGGGCTGCCCTCATTCTTCTTCTTGCTCACCCACTCAGTTCAAAGAAAGTCTTAGCTTTCTTCATGCTGAACTGTGGGAGGGAGTAAGTCAAGAGGTGAGATTATATTGTGAACCCACAAAACAACCTGAAAAACATAGAAGAGTTATTCTCAGCCTTCTTTAGTAACAGTAGCTGGTGGGGTTAGTTAGTGAAGTGCTAGCCCAGGTGAACCTGGATGAATGAATGAAGGAACAAATGGGAAAAAAAGTATTCAGCATTTGTTATGAACCAAGCACAGTGCTAAGAGCTACAAATAAAATATATATATATATACATATATATATATATGTGTGTACATATATATATATACATATATATATATATGTGTGTGTACATATATATATATACATATATATATATATATGTGTACATATATATATATATATACATATATATGTATATATGTATATAGTTAGTCCTCATCCTTAAAGCACTTGTATCCCAATGGGAAAAATAATATACAAAGGAGAGTAGTGGCCAGGTAGGAGCAGTTGGGCCTGGAGAAAGTTATAGGTATGTATAGTGCAGAACTGGAGATTAGATTGATACGTATCATTTGTGAACAATGTAAGAGTTGATTTAATCATGGTTCTTTGTTCCAAAATTGTGGAGAAGTGGAAGGGAGGATAAGATAAGAGCACAGAGGCAAGGTGCTTGTCAAGTAGGAGATAGTCAGGGAGCAGGGAAGGAAGTGAGGCATGATGACTGGGATTTTCCTGAAACAATGGCCTATGAGGAGCAATCAGCAATCGGTATATCAGGGCAGAAGTTTCTTCATAGCAAAGCAGTTGGGTAAGGCAGAATAGGCAAAGTAAAGAATGAACACAACATGACCTACATATTCATACAGTAGTTAGAATTGGTGCCTTCTTTCTCTGACGGAAAGGTAATTTTGAGGCGGAAATTTTATGTACATTTAGTTGCACAGCTCTGTCTGGGAAGCTGGAAGGGTTGCTATCATCCTAAGAATATCATATGTGGCTGCTCCCTACACCTATGGAATCTATGATGTGACAGACAAAAAAAAAATGATCACCATAGTGCCTACCATTGGGTTAGAGGTAGGGTGGCACTGGGATATCCCTCTTCCTTTATAATATCCAGGTACAGCAGGTACTTCAATTCCAGAACCTCACTGGGAATGTACCAGTAGACTAAGGCTTGCCTGTCTCCAAACAGTGAACCTGGGAAGGGCACCGCAGACAGAAGGCAGAGGAGGTGGCCCTTTTGGATTTCCTATATCCAATTTGCTAGGAGAACACTTATTGCCAAAGTATTAAGAATATCCAGGTACAGCAGTGTTTCAATTCAAGCACCTCATTGAGATGCAACAGTAGATCAAGGCGTGTCTGTCTCTATACAGTGGACCTTGGAAGGGCTCCTCGGATGGAAGCCAGAGGATATGGCCCTTTTGGATTCCCACCTCGAAATTTCTAGGAGAAGGCTTATTGTTGAAGTAGTTAGCACCATGGGTAGGGGTAGTAAACTTGAGACCTGTGAGCTGAGTCAGCATAGTCCTAAGGGGCTCACAGATGAAGGGGTCTGTCTCCCCATTATGCATATATTGGAAAGTCTCTGGTTGGATAATTAAGCTGGAGAGTGCCAACACATTTAACTAGGCAGGACAATTTTCATGCCTTTAAGGAGTATGGATCATTCACAATACAAAAGTAGAACCCAGGCAAGAGACAGGGAATGTTACATCATCCATATTTCCCAAGGCAGCCAGAAGCAGGTAAGTGGCAGTGTGGATAGGGTGCTGGACCTGGAGTCAGGAAGATGAGTTCAAATCCACCCTCAGACACTTACTAGCTTTAGGACCCAAGGAAATAATTTAACTTCCATCTGCCTCAGTTTCCTCAAGTGAAAATGAGGATAATGCCAGCACTTACCTTGAAGGCTTGTTGTGAGGACCAAATAAGATAATATTTGTAAAGCAATTAGTTCAATGCCTGGCACATAGTAGATACCAAATAAATGCTCAGCTCCTTCCCTTCCCAAGAGAGACTTTCCTGAATTGGTTGTGTTTCGCACCTCTTCCATAGAGCACTAAGTGGAAAGGAAATAGCTAAGGAAGAAAGATAATGTGTGTTTTGGGGTATCCCTTCCCTGGACAAATGGTGCCTTGTGATAGTGCTAGATATTATCCTTTTGTGGTAAAGGGTCAGTGTTCTAATAAGGGTCAAGTGCAATGAGAAGGCTTTTAAGAAACAGCCTTAGCTTTAATTTGGATATGGCTTTTCCAAGATTCCTTCTCATCACCTAGAATGTTTTGGTAGCCTAGATGGACTCTAGCCAAGGTGGACTTACCCTAAGGTTAAATAATTAAATGGTTTTGTCACTATATCACGTAAATCTTTCCTGGCTTCCCTCAAATTTCAGTGAAAATTCTACCTTCTAAGGAAGTCTTTTCTGATCCCCCTTAATTCTAGTCCCTTCTCTCTGTTGAATACCTCCCATTTGTCTTGTATATATCCTGTCCATGTTGTTATTGTTCAGTTATTTGAGTCACATCCAACACTTCATGACACTATTTGGAATTTTCTTGATAAAGATACTAAAGTGGCTTGCCATTTTCTTCTCCAGCTCATTTTACAGGTGAAGAAACTAAAGCAAACAGGGTTAAGGGACTTGTCCAGAGTCACATAACTAGTAAGTATCTGAGGCCAGATTTGAACTCAGATCTTCCTGAGTCCAGGCCTGGTTCTCTAACCACTGTACAATCTAGCTGCCATCTTGTCTGTACATAGTTGTTTACATGTCTCCTACATTTAGACTGTGAGCTCCTTGAGAGTAGGGACTTTTTTTTTTTGCATTTCTTTGTGTCCCCAGTGCTTAGCACTGTGTCCAGTGCATAGTGGGCATTTAATACATGTTTAGGGACTGACTGATTGAACCTAATTTATAAAATTAAATCATTCTTTAGAAAATGAATGATCTTGCCTACACAGAAGACAATATACCAATCCTTTTTCCAGTTAGGATATAGAGAATGCACAATACCAAGAATGAAGGACTGGATCACCAGACAGTGGGAAAACAGATTTTTGGGGGGCACTAAATCCTGAAATGTCCTGCTTTCTAAATGAGCACCAAGATTTATAGTTCTGAAATAACCCTCAGTACCCTGAAAGAGAACATAGGCAACCAGTGACACTTTCTGTAGTGTTGGTTGTTATAGGCATTACCTCCAAGGTGCAGATAGACCCACTGCTCCTTCTCCATAGACCTCAATATCAACAGCTAGATTACAGGGGTAGCTTTGTTTCTTTCAGGTGCATTAGCCACAAAACACTTGGTCTGATTAGCAGCACTATGCCTCTGGCAGCCATATTAGAACCATGGGCAGCACCTTAGCAATTTCTCCTGGCTGTCTTTGAGGTTTATGGAGCAGAGAAGTTAAAAGATAATAGCCACTGGGAGCTTTCTATAATTACAAACTTGCCAAGACAGCAGCTGAGAGCTCCAGGTGTACTAAGATATAGATATCAAGCCTTCAAACAAATTATCCTCAGCTTGTAGATCTAATACTCCTTCAGCTGAATTCCAAAACATCCTCACAACCTGGGAGCAGCTTTACCAAGCCCAATAAGGAAGCTCTGTTCCTTGCTGATTACACTAAGCCCAGAGATAAACTGAACTAGAAGAAGAGGTTCCTTCAGAGCAGTGATTCTGGGAATGTCAAGTACTAATAAGTTTTTGATCCATTTTTTAAGGAACTCTGTCCTTGTAATGTCTGATTTGTCAATAAGTTGCAACTGGAAATGGACAAGAAGAGATGAGGAAAGTTACACCTCAAGATCCATTATTTAAATATCACAGATTAATCACTTATCAAATACCAACAAAATTAAAATAACAATTACCTTGTACATGCTGAAATGATTAAGCATGTTGTGAACACGATTACTGGAAAAAGGACCTCTTGAAATGTACTGGACTCTAATAGGGAAAGAGAAAAAAAAATAATTGAGAAGCATTGCCTATTATTAAATAGTCTTGAAAATATTAAAATAAATTATAAATGATTAAGTAACAGTAACTTAATAATGGTTAATAATGATAAATGTTTGTTATTAAATACATTGACCCATAACATTCATTCTCCCAGTCTTAAGTCTCCTTTGGAAATATTATTTGCAAATATCTCATCTGTACCCTGAACACATTCTGTGCTTTTGTCCTTTCTGTGTCTTTGTTCACACTCTTTCCTATGCATGGAATGCAATCTCACTTCCCCTTTTCCTACTGAAGTCATACTTAGAATTTTAATCCCAAATTAAATGCTATTTCCTCCCTCAGGCTTACCCTGATATTCCTGGTTAGTAATTATCTTCCCCCTCAAACCTCCTCACATAGCACTTTGTTCTGTATCTCTCTAATGAAATCATCCTGAAACAGTACTTCAGAGAAATACAGAATTTTAGATTTTGAAGGGACCTTGGGGTCCATCTTGTCCAACCCATACAAAGAAAGAACTTCCACTGTAGCATACTTCACAAGTGCTCAACCAGCCTTTGCTTGAAGACTTTCAATGAGGGGGAACTCCATTCATCCTCACCTCTGTATTTGTGCTTTATCTCACTGCTAGACAGTGAAATGTACAAGGGAAGGAATTGTGTCCTATCTAAATGCAGGTAGACTCCATACCACCTAGGACAGTGATGGGCACACAGTACACTGTTAATGCCTGTGGGTGAATTGGAATTTGTTGAATTAAGACACATAACTCTATTAACTTTTGGATACAATCTTTTACTTTGGGAGCTCTCTATTATAAACTAGTCCTCTATAACGTGGCAAAATGAATGATTTTCCTTGAAGAGTTTATAGCTTTTTTTGAAATATAGTTTCTATCTTGAACTTCATGGAAAGTCAATAAATCAGCTTTATGCTCCACAACATATTTTATCCAGGTAAGTCCAAAGAACTTTAAAAGTATTAGCTTAATCGCCTTCAACATCCCTAGTGATCAGAGCTCTATGCAAAGAAACCTTTGAAATAGTTATGGATTACATAAAAATAAAAGTAATTGAGAGAGGTCTAAAAATCACTGAATGGTACTCATTCAGTCATTTCAGATATGCCCAGCCCTTCATGGTCCTATTTAGAGTTTTCTTGGCAAAGAGACTGGAATGGTTTGCCATTGCCTTCTCCACTGGATGCAGTGAATCCATTCCGTCAGGTAATCAGAGGTTAAGTGATTTGCCTAGCGTCACATGGGCAGCCAGTATCTGAGGCTGGATTTGAACTCAGGTCTTCCCGACTGCAGGCCCAGTGCTCTATCCATCGAGCCATAGGCTGCCCCATCAGCTCCCCAGGTACAATGCTCCCCAAATGCTTTTGTGTGGCTATAGCCCTGGGAAAGGCAGAATGTATGAGGCAAGATGATATGGGATCTTATATTGGCTGCCTTTTTAAAGCTGATTCTTTTCATGAGTAGCAGCAGACATCAAGGTACAAGAAGGAAGACTTTCACAAGAATATCTATCATAATGGGCAGTCGGCTGGTGCAGTGGATAGAGCACCGGGTTTGGAATCAGGAAGACTCATCTTCAAAAGTTCAAATCCAGCCTAAGACACTTACAAGCTGTGTGTAACCGTCACTTAATTCTGTTTGCTTCAGTTCCTCACCTGGAAAATGAGCTGGAGAAGGAAATGGCAAACCACTTCCCAAAAACTCTAAATGGGGTCACAGAGAGTTGGACATGACTGAAAAATGACTTAACAACATCTATAATAATATCATATAAAGACTGGAATTCAACTTAGATGCATATCATCTTCATTTTATAGATGAGGAAAATAGGCCCAAATAGGGGAAGTCATTTGTCTGAGGTGACAAGTGTAAGAGGAGGTATAGCAAAATCAGTCAGGAAAGTGTCAGTGCAGAACATTTTTCTTTGAGTGGCATCTTTCAGGACTAAGGGAGATTGTACCTTCATCTCTGTGAGTCTCTAAGGAAATATGCGTCTCTTAAAGGGACTGTAAACTATGATAACACATCGGATTTTTGTTGCTCAATTACAGAATTGTCCTCAGGGATCAAGCACCAGTTTGCAGCTATGTGGGGAAGGAAGTGACTATAGCAGATTTAGGCATGAGAGCGCTTTTGATAATACAATCACACACACACACTGATGACCAAATCTAAATCAAGATGGGTCTGATGAGAGAGGGAAGGAGAGAAATGAAATCACAAAAGGTCCTCAACTTACACATAGATTGTGTTTTTAAAAATTATATTGGTCATTTGGAACTTGAATACATTTCCCCATAAAACAGCATGAGGAGTGGTAGTTAGGTTCCCAGGTGAGCTCAGAAAGCCTACTTAAAATATAAGGGGCTAAATTCCAGTGGCTTCCTCTTATTTCTAGGATTAAATACTAACCCTTCTGTTTAGCATTTAAAACCCTTCCTAGCTAATCTCCAAACTACCTCTACAGCTTTCTTATATCTTATTCCTCTTCACACACTACATGGTCCAGACAGATTAATCTTCTAATTATTCTTCACATATAACATTCTATTTCTCATCTCCATGCTTTTTCACAGGTTGGGTCCATGCCTAGAAGGGATATCCTCTCAACCTCCATCTCTTAGAATTTGTAGTTTCCTGCAAATCACAACTCAAATGCCAAGGGCCTTTTTTGTCCATGAAGCTTTTCCTAATACTCTTGGCTTCAGATTCTTTCTTCCTGAAAATTACCTTGTGTCAATCTTTATGTACTCATATATATATATATTATCTTCCCCAATAAAATGTTAGCTCCTTGAGGCTTTCGAATATTTTGTCTGTCTATTCCCAACTCCTAGCACATAGCAGGTGCTTGATAAACTTTATTGATTTGATTGATTGAGAGAGGAAATTTTGAGTGATAATAGGACTTTCTAGAGTTCCAAAAATTACACCGTCTAGGCAGCCACCCAGGCTAAGACCTGCCCTTACAACAAACCTGTTTTCTACTGTCTGGGTGCAAGTTGTTATTATTTCCAGATGGGTAGCTTTTAGGAAGATAGAATAATGCAGTACAAAGAGCATTGACCTAGGAGTCAAAAGAGTTGAGCTCAGTTCCCAACTCTACTGATAACTCACTATATGACCTCAGGTCATATGTAATTACCTTCTCTGAGCCTTACGTTACTCCTCCATAAAAATGAAGGGGTTGAAGAAAAGGTAATGTTATAAAAAAAAAAAACCAGAGAGAGGAATGAAAGAAGATATCTTTCAGATCTATGGTTGAAAGGTAAAATCATCACTAAATGAGAGAGACAATGACAAAAAAAAGATAGTTTTGACAATTTTGATGTAAAATTAATTTTTTCAAAAGAAAATCCTAACAGGTAAGTGTCATGAGTGGGTAAGAAAGGTTATAAATAGTTTTCAAAAGAAAAATTATAAACTATAGATAGCCATCTGAAAAAAAGTGTTCCAAGTCACAAACTGTAAGAGATGTATAAATAAAAACAATTCTGAGATTTAACTTCATAACCATCAAATTGGTTAAAAATTTAAAAACAGAAATAATCAATGTAAAGAGGAATTGTAATAAAACATACACAGTACAAATGTTAAGTGGTCCAAACACTTTGCAATTATATGAGACATCATTAAATTGTTCATAATCTTTGAACTAATGACCCTAGTAGCATTTTTTTGTGATAGGAAAGACGTTTAGGGAAAAGATTATTTTTTTCCCCTACTTCATAGTAGAAAAGCAAAGAGGAGAAAGTGGATAATAACACAATATTACACAATAGCTACAATAAGTTTAAATGAAAACAACTCCTAGAGCTTAACTGTAATGACCAATCTTGGCCACGGGGAAAAAAAAATAATGAAACACATTTACCTTCTTCAGGTTACAGAAGAATGGAAGAGGGGAAGCTCAGAGTGCAGAACATCATAGTTGTCAGTTATATTTGCCTGTTTTTTGGTTTGGTTTTGTTGTTATAAGGAAGGCCTTAAAGTTGTGTTGTGTGGGACGGTGTATACTGGAGGTAGCATGGAATAGGGAAAAAAAACCATAGGAGTCAGAAACTATGGTTTTAAGCTCCCAGTCTGCTTCTTACTACCTGTGTGACCTTGGGTTAATTACTTTCCCACTCTGGTTTTCAGTTTCTTCACATGTAAAATATAGAGGTTTGAATAGATAAACCCCCAAGGTCCCTTCCAGCTTTAAATCTATGATCAAAGACAATTATGTATATATGTACATATATGTTTATGCATCCATGCAAATATTGTATAAAACATGTATGTTTATATCTTTATGTAGACATATGTTTGACTAAGAGATTAGACAAAATGACATCTCACATCCCTTCCAGATCTAATAACATGTGGGATAGAGGATAGGGAATGGATCTGTAATTTCATTGATACAGAGAAGTCTCAGCTAAGTAGATTCCTCCTACCAAGGCAGGGCAGCACCTTCGCTGCATTTCTTAGTCATAGAAAATTGCCTAGAGCAATGAAAGATTGACTGACTGACTTGACCAGGGCCACACCCGGTATGTATCAGAGATCAGGTCTTCCTGATCCCAAGGCCAGCTCTGTAACAATGCCACACTTCCCCTCTCTAGTGATGTACGTGTCAGGGATATTAGGAGGAAGAATTCCTAGGGAGTAATAGCTAATAGGTAACATTCATAGAGCACTTACTATATGCCAGACACTTTACAATTAATTCATTTGATCCTTACAACAGCCCTGAGTGGTATGTGCTTTTATTATTCCCATTTAGAGATGAAGAAACTGAGGCAAACAGAGGTTGAGTGACTTGCCCAAGGGTCACATAGCTAGTAAGTATCTGATGGTAAATTTGAACTCAGGTCTTCCTGACTTCAGGTTGGGCACTCTATCCACTGCACCACCTAGCTTACCCTAGGGAGATAGACTAAGACAAACTAAAATGAGACACTTTGACTCACTTGAATGATGGAAAATTCCCTCCTGGAAATGTTCTGGAACGATCAGCTGGGACTGAGAAGGCACAACACCCAGATTCTCTTCAGAATGCTGAAGGACTACTTTGATGGATGACGAGATTTCAGCAGATTCTGGAGTTTGTTTTTCTGACAACCATGGTTGGGATGCAGAAGAAAATTCAGAATGACCTGTTGGAAAAACAAAGCCTGCGGTTGTGTGTACATGCCCACATGTGTATGAACACATAATTAAGTGTCATATAGCACTCTGAGGAATGGAACCATAGTGAAATCAAGACAACAAGAAAGGGTGTTGAAATTCTCAAAGGACTGGTATTCACTGCTATGGCAGCAAACATAACCACTCAGAGAGGGTGCCCAGGACTCATATCCAACCCTAGTAAGAAAGGATATGTTAATCACACTAATCATTTCTACCCCCAACATCTTTATCCAGAAGTGAGGTTAAAATGAATCCCAAGGTAAGTCTCAAAGAAAAAAAAAAGAAATGACAAAAGGGCAGAGTAAGAGGTGAAAGAAAGGGAAGGGACAGTCACACTGTTGTCTTGGTGATGTAGGGAGTTAATGGAAAGACTAAATGTATACAAAGCTGAGGGCTTACAGCACCAGCTCACAGAATTGCTCATAGAGTTGTCTCCTCCCCTTGCTCCACTCTGAGTCACCGTCCAACCAGAAGCAGGACAGGAGGGGTTAAGGAATTGTTGTTCACTTACATGAAGGTTAGAGAAAATTTGTCCCAGTCACCATATCCATTCACATACTCAAGTCTCCCTGAACCTAAAAAAAGCCTTCCTATAACTCTTATAATCCATCCAATTACCAATTTCCCTTAAAAGGTGATGACCTAATGACCAAATCAAATACTCTTTTTTCAGTCCTCATCTTTGACCTCTCTGAAAGTTTTGAAATGATTGGCCATTCCATTCTATTGAATACTCTCTCTTCCTATGGCTGCAAAAACATTACACTCCTTTGATTTTCCTCATACCATTCTAATTGTTCCTTCTCTGTCTCTTTTTCTTTCTCTTTATCCTATCTAATGGTGCTATTTCAAAAACAAACAAACAAATAAAGACTTTTGTTATTGCTGTTTTGTAGGATCAGAGCTGGAAAAGAACTTAGAGGTCAATGAGTTCAACATTCTCATTTTACATATGTAGAAACCAAGACCCAGGAAGGAAAATCATTTGCCCAAGGTCATAGAACTAGTTTCAGAGCTGGATTTCAAACCCAGTTTCTCTGACTCCTAATCTAGTGTTCTTTCCCTTATACAAATGTTGGTGCCAGTTTTATGAAGACTAGATTTCTCAACTACGTAAACTCTTCATTTGGTGTGCTAGAAAAAGTAATCTTACTTAATTTCAAGATAGAATGAAAAGTATTTTCCAAAAACCATAGTGGTATTATTGTAACTGGCTAACTGATTTACATATTTGTATGTTCTGAAGCATTTCTTAGAATCTCAGAGTTGGAAAGGATCTCAGAGATCACCTCATCCAAGCATACATCTTATCTGTAACATCACGGATAAGTGACTATACAGCTTCCTACTGAAGATCTCTAATAATAGAACTTACTTCCTGGATGGCCACTTTTCAGGTATATAATTATGGTGAGGATTCCTTTCATGTATGGAGTACATTAGATGGCTCCTAAGGCCCCTTTTGTGTCTCAAATTATATGATTCTGTGATCCTTCTAAGGCAGTGGCTCCCATTTTTAAGAAAGTTCCATATTGGGGAATTTGTCTTTACATTAAGCTAAAATCTTTCTTCTTGTAATTTCCATCCATAGACATCCACTGTGACCAAGCAGAAAAACTGTAATTAGGTAGCTGAGTGGCACAGTGGATAGAGTCCTGGGCTGAGTCAGGAAGACTTGAGTTTATATCCAGCCACAATGGGTGTCAAATGAGATACTGTTAGTAAAGCACTTAGCACAGTGTCAGACACATAGTGGGTACTATATTCCCTTCTCCTTTCTTTCTCTCTTGCAAATATTTTTCACTCACTAAATTGATACAATATGATTAGTGGGTATCTCACACCAAGTGGTATCACATACTTTATTCCCTTTTTATCACTGAAAAATAAGATTCATCATTATTTATATTTATTCCATGATAGTCAACACAATATAACAGGACCAATTTTCCCCATTGTGGAAGCAAAGGTTATCTTCTGGTGACTTGATAGCCAATGACTGATACAAGAAGATGGATGGCTCCCTTTTCTAGTCATAAAGGTGATAGCTGTGTTCATGGGCTGGAGCACTCCTATCCAGACTAGATATACAATCAAGGAGAAGGTGGGTATTCATGCCCTGCCCCCTAGCCCCACCTCCCTATGGAGGTGCCATATGCCACCTTATAAAGTAGCTTTGAGAGACCTCTCTGGTGGTTACCAAGAAGACAGCAGATATCAGAGAACTATCATTTCTCCAGTTCTGTGCATTACATTTCAAAAAATTTTGCCTAAAATCACATTAGCTTTTTTTTTGGCAACCACATCATAATTGCGACTCATAATGAACTTGCTCTAATTAAAGTCATAGGCCCTTTCCATATGAACTGCAATCAACATACATCTTCTCTATTCTGCCCTAATACAGTTCATTTGGGTAGTGAAGTGAAAAGAACTCAAGATTTGAAGTCAGAGTATTTGAAGTACAGGCAGTAAGAGGCAGAGCCAAAGTCCTAGCTCTGCCTCTTACTGCCTATATGACTTAGGATAAGTTATTTAACTTCCCTGAGACTATTTCCTCAATTGTAAAATGAAGTAGTTGGACTAAACCTCCCAGGTCCCTCTAGTGCAATATCTATGATCCTAAGACTTCCAGAACCTCAGTGCTGAACTTTATTGTGCCCACCAAATTCCATCTTGTTAGATTGGGTTCTTTATACAAACTGCTGAAGTCCTTTCAGAATGTGATTCTGCCATTTTAGTTTCCTCGTCAAGCTTTGCTCCCTGCTGCAATCTGATAAGCATGCCATGTAACACTTCATCCAAATCATTTATAAAAATGTTGAACAACATAGGACTGAAAACTGGGTTCCATCAAAATCCACAAGAGACCTTCCTCAAATTTAGCATCACTTCAATCATCATCACTCTTTAGTCCAGTTGTTCAACCAATTCTGAATCTACCTAATTGCATTTATCAACCAGTCCATATTGTTCTACTTTGCCATGAATGTAATACTGAGTCTTTTTCAAAGGTTTATTTTGGGGGCTTTGTTTTTGTTTTTTTGCCCAAATCCAGTTGTGTTATGCCTATGGTATCCCCTTAAATCCAATGGTTTAATGACCCTGTCGGCAAGGAAATGAGGGTTGGTTGACCTACAGTCTTGATTAATCTATGTTGGCTCTTACTTATCATCATTTTCTAAAAGTTCACAAACCATTCTTCTAATAAGCTATTTTAGAAGATTACCCATAAACTCACTTATTAACCTCCTTCCTCCCTTCTTTTTGAGAAAAATAAGGGCATTTATCTGTTCTTTTTCTTCCATTCTTGACAGTCACCAGAATGATTCAGCAGTGGTTCATCCATCACCTCTTCAAGCTGTTTCAGTGCCCTCAGATGGAATTCTCTAAACCATACAACTTGAACTCATAAAGTGTATAGCGAGGTACTTTCTTACCATCTCCTCAATTATTTTGGGTTTTAGTTTACTGTTAACTATTTTTATTCTCTTTCATTCTGAAAATCATTATCCTTGATAGAGAAAACAAAAGGAATTGCATCATTCTCTTTCATCCATTATTATTATTATCCCACGTAAAATTTTACTTCTTGCACCTAACTTTTTTTTTCAAAAAACCTTTTTTGTCAGCATCTCTCACAAGCCCCAGCTCACTCTAGGCTTTAGCCTTCCCAGCACTATTCTTACCACTATTCTTATATTCATTTGTCCATTTCATTGTTGAAGAATGATCTTCCTCAAGAGGTGTCAGGTTCCCCCCTCCTCAGATATCTTCAAATAGAGGCTAGACAGCCAGTTGTTGGGTATGTTATAGTGGAGAATTTTATAAAGTATATGGATTGCACTAGACGGCCCTGGGGTCCCTTCCAACTCTTAAATTCTGTGATTTTCTAATATTTGATTTTGTGAAATTATCAGAGCAAGCCTACAGTCTGCTTGAAACCTATAGGAGATACTTTAGATAAATAAAGGTCAGTTCCTTTTTCTGAGTTCACTTGCATATCTATCTGAAGAAGTGAAAGGAGCTCAAGGTCTAATATACAGAAACAAAGTACAATAATATGAGTGAAGTACCATGATATGAAGGAGTTGGTAGGAGCCATATTCAAGATTATGAGAACACAGACTTAGAGTTGGAATGTACTTGAAAAGTCATCTAGTTCGACCCCTTCATTTTACAATTTGGAGCCTAAAATCTGGAGAGATTAAGGGGCTTCCCTAAGATCACACAGATAATAAGCGGCCAAGTCAGAACTCAAACCCAGGTCCTCTGACTCCAAATTCAACACCCTTTCCATACAATCTCATTGCCTACTAAGCTGTACATGAGTATTCCTTGCCAAATTTATTTACATTATTCACATTTGGGGAGGGGAGTGTCTATGGACCATTCTGCAAGCATAGACCCTAATCCCCAATATTTCTTCAAAAGTTCAGACAGGTTACATAACCTTGATTCTACCTTCTGTATGTAACCTTATTAAATCTGAGCTTTTTGGAGCAGCTTCTGATTCTCCAAACTAGTCTCTTTAAATATACCCCTCTTTTTCTTCCTCATTCAATTCAACTCAACTTGAATTAATTCTATTTTACAAACCTTCCCTTTGCAGATGAGGAAACAGAAGCTCAGATGGATGAGACGATCTGCCCAACATCATCTAGTCAGTAAGTGGCAGAGCTAAAATCTGAACTTGAGTCTTCTGACTACAAGTTCAGTGTTCTATCTATTATACTAAGTTGCTTAACTGGTTTGTTTGACACATTTCCCTCTTCATAGTAAAGGTACAGCAGAAGAGAGATATGGTACCCAATAGCTTCGCTTTCTGAGTTGATGACACTAGGTATCTTAACCTATTTTAAAGGTGGGGAAATTGAGGCACCAATATTGAAGTAATATGAAATACCTATGGTTACATTCATTTTAGTGTCATAGTCACAAACAAAACAAGGTTTCCTGTTCAGTAGCCAGTGCACAAATCCAGCCTCCTCCCTCCTTCCCTCACGAGCTCATGACTCGCTCTCTCTCTCTCTTTCTCTCTCTCTCTCTTTCTCTCTCTCTCTCTCTCTCTCTCTCTCTCTCTCTCTCTCTCTCTCTCTCTCTCTCTCTCTGTCCCCCTCTGCCCCATCCACTTCCTGCATCTCTGTATTAAAGTGGATGAGGGAATGCAAAACAGGAGATGAAGAATGAATTGAAACTAACAAGGCAAAGTGATTTTTCAATGCAACTGGGAAAGGGGTGAACTGAGGATATTGCTGAACTGGAGGAGACAAAAAAAGAAAAACACCAACCATCAGAGAAGAAAAATTGAAGCAGGGGGAAAATTGTCAGGAAATAATTTTTGATTGAATTGGCAGCATAGGGAAAAGATAAACAAATGCATTTTACTCCAGTTGTTTATGTTGAGGCCTTGAGCTAGCATACACACACACACACACACACATACATATGCATATATGTATATATGTGTGTATATAGATATAGATATATAGGGGGTGGAAATGCTGGTGGAAGATGTGATCTTGCATAGAGCTGGAAAAGAAGGCTAGGAAAAATTTGATTAAAATTGACATCTGTGATAAGAGACCTTAATGTGCTTTGTACTCTTGTTAACTAATGGCTGATTTCAGAGAGCTGCAGTTGGAAATGTTTTACTTAAGAGGCATCCAAAGTCATGAGAAGTATAATAAAGCACCTTTTGCATGTTCTTCCTTGCCAGAGATAAACTGCTCTCAAATTCTTTAGGCATACTAAATGGGGGCAAGAGAAAAGAAAGCTAAGGAGAGACATAAAAGTAATCTTTATAAGTCTAAAGGGTTGTTGTACAGAAGAAGAAATGGGATTGTTCTATAGACTAGAATTATTAGGTAAGTTATGAATAGATAGATTTTGTTTCAACATATATAAGAACTTTCTGATGAACAGTCTGAAACAGTCCCTGACCCTGGAGATATTTCAGCAGAGACTGAAAAACTAGCTGTAAGGGACATTATGCCATTTCTCAGTAAAGGATTTTCCTTAGAATGGAAAGTTAGGACAAATGATCTCTAAGGTGATTTCTATGTAGCTACTGGTATAGCAGAGCCAGGACACAAATTCAGGTCCAGGGCTCTATCAACTGAATGAAGCAGGTAGGTGGAGTAGTGGATAGGGTGTTGGACCTGTAGACAGGAAATCTGAGTTAAAAAGCTAGCCTCAGACACTTGTGATCCTGGGCAAGTCACTTAACCTCTGCCTGCTTCAGTTTCTGCATCTGAAAAGTGGGCATAATAATAGGGCCTGCTTCCTAGGGCTACTGTGAAGATCAAATAAGATAATATCTGTAAAGTGCTATGCAAACCTAAAGGCTCTGCATAAATGGTAGCAATTATTATCACACTATACAACATCCTATGGGGTATATAAAATATCAAGTTTCCAGGCGTTACTAATGCTATTACGTTGCATGTAAGAGAAAAAATTATGTGTATCAAAACTTGAGAAAGTTGAGTTAAATGCATTTTTCAGTTTTTAAGCACTTATGTACAGGGACATTGTAGGTATAAAATGGAAAAAAAATAGTCTCTACTCTGAATAATAACAATAGTAGATAACATTAATATAGAAATTTAAGGTTTGCAAAGTGCTTTACATAATACATGCATACATATATATGCATGTTATCTCATTTGATTCCTGTAACAACTTTGTAAGGGTAGGTTATCTTATTACCCCATTTTACAGATAAGGAAACTGAGACTAAAAGAGGTTAAGCATTTGTCCAGGGTCACAGTAAGTGTCAAAGAAGGCTTTCCATAGGATTTGGTGAGGTTATGTTGAGCCTTGAAGATTAAGAATTCTACTAGGCAGTGGTGAAAAGGGACTGAATTCTGGGATTGAGGGACAGATTGTGTAAAGTTGGGAGATAGAACATTGACTTTAGGGAAAAGCAAGTATGTAATTTTCATTGAAATGTAGAGTATGCAAAGGGGAATAATGTTAAATAAGACTAAAAAATAAAGCTAGAGATAGATTTAAATCAAGGAATACTTTTAATACCAAAGAGGCTGTATTTTATAATAGCAAGCAACCAAAGAAGTGACTGAAATGGTCACACCTTAGCTTTAGAGAGAGTATTTCAACTGTTGTGGGAAGGATGGGTTGGAGAAGAGAATAGAAATAGGGAGATCAATTAGGAGGTTAGTATAATAGCTCTGACAAGAGGTGATTAGAACCTGAACTAGGGAGTGGAGAGAAGAGCACAGATATAAAAGGTATTATAGAGGGAGAATCAATAGAGCTGACAATTTATTTGGGGGTTATAGCTCTGGGGGTAAAGGAAAGTGAAGCTTCAAGGATAATCCCAAGGAAACAAACCTGGTGCTATAAGGATTTTGGTGCCCTCCACAGAAATAGAGGAAGTTTGTATGTGAGACATATTTAGTGGGGAATATCATAAGTTCCATTTTGGATATTTTAAGTCTGAGGTGGAATATTGAAGTAGAGGAGGTTGTTAATATGCTCCTGGAGCTGAGAAGAGAGATTCATATATATAGGTTCGATTCATATACATAGAAATGATTATTGAGCCTAAGGTAAGCAATAAGTTTACCAAAAGATGATACAGAAAAGAGAACAGGGCTGAGGACAGAGCTGGTTTGTGCCATCTCTGATGTGGGTGGGGCATGGATGATGATTCAGCAAAAAAGAATAGAAAGGAATCTGACAGGTAAGAGGAGAACCTGAAAGGAGCAGCATCACAAAAGCTTCAGGAGGAAAGAGTATCCAAGAGAAGTGACCAACAGTATTAGAAGATATGGAGAGGTCAAGGAGGATGAGGACTGAGAAAGAGATATCAAATTTAGTGACTAAGAGATTCTTGATAACTTTAGGGATAAGTTTCAATAGAGTAGTGGGACTGGGGATCAGAAGCCTTGTTGGTAAGAAGTGAGTGGAAGATGTGGAAATGAAGACAATTTTGACTATGAACAGGAGGAGAGATATAAGATGATAACTTAAGGGACTGATGTCAGTCAAGGTAGAATTTATTTTTAAGCTGGGAAAAATAATGCATGTTTGTATGTAGTAGGGAAAACAAGAAGAGAAGGGAGATGAGAGATTGAGAGAGAGAGAAAAAAAAGAGAGTACCTTGATTACCATCCTTGTATAACTGATAAACATCCTCAAGGTTACTGGCTCCTTCAATCCATACATCTTCTCCTGGGGAAGAGTCCATATCACTAAAAACACCTTGACGAAGCCAAGGGTTAGAGGCACTGAGATTGAACAGCTCAGAGAGAGAACGGCGGATTTTCTTTTTTTTCCTGAATATTCTGGGAAAAAATGGAAGACAAAGTGATCTACCTGATTCTCACCACCTCATACCTAGACCATTACAATAGGCTTCTTGTTGGTCTCTCTGCTTTAAATCTCTCCCCACTCCAACCCATTCTCCACTCAGCTGCCAAGGCTATTTTTCTAAGTACAGGAATGACCATGTCATTCCATTCTATAAAACATGGTTGCCTTTAACCTCCAGAAAAACATATAAAATCCCGTTTCGCATATAAAGCCCCTCATAACCTAGCCCTCCTCTGTCTTTCTAGTCTTCTTACACTTTGCCCCCTCCGTGTAATCTATCTGACACTGATCCAGTGACATTGGCCTCCTGGCTGTTCCATGGACAAGACACTGTATCTCTCAGCTCCAGGCATTCTCTCTGGCTGTCCCCCATGCCTGGAATGTTTTTCCTCCTCACCTCTGCCTACTGGGTTTTCCTGACAATTTGACCTATCCAAAGGGGCTGCCTCCAGAAGCATTGGGTTTCCCCCTCCCTGGAATCTTATCAAAATAAGACTGAATGGTCACTGGTCAGGGATGTAGTGGAATGAATTTCTGATCAGGTACAGATTGGATTAGATTGCCTTTGAGGTCCTTTATAATTCTGTGACTTCAAACTCTCTGACCCTCAGTTTCTCCATCTATGAAATGTAGCCAACATTATAAAAACCTATTGACCACACAGGGGCATTATTTTTGAGTAAGGGTGAGATACTTTCTTGTCAAGGTTGTTATTAGAAGGTAGATGGTGCATTGGATAGAGTGCTGGGCCTAGAGTTAAGAAGACTCATCTTTGTGAGTTCAAATCTGGCCTCAGACACTAACTGTGTGACCCTGGGCAAGTCAGTTAACCCTGTTTGCCTCGGTTTCTCATATATAAAATGATCTGGAGAAGGAAATATCAAACTGCTTCAATATCTTCACCAAGAAAATCCCAAATGGGGTCAAGAAGAGTCACACATGACTTAAAAATGACTGAAAAATTTATCCACTGGGTAGAGGACTAAACTTGATGACCTTTAGCTCCCTTCTAATTCATAGTTTTCTAGGAATCAAATAAAATGGTGATTGTAAAGGTGTTTTTTACAAATATGAAGTGTTACTACTATTACTTTTCTGTCCATCAGCAACACAGATGAAAGACCACCACCCAGAATCTGAATATGGACTTCTTATTTCACAGTCGTAAAGATGGTACAGATTGGATTAGATCTCCTCTTTGTGCTGAAGCATCTAAGACATTAATTGGGATCCTCACAGTGACCAACAGCAAGTATTGGTAAGACATCTCGAAGGCTTTAAGTCTCTATGGTTTCAGTCCTTCAATGGACTCACAATCTGATATGTCTACTTTTTCCTTTGGCTCATATGGCAACCAATTCATGTCTTCTTATCCTATATGATTCTTGGCCATGTTCTACCATAAATCCTTCTTTGAAAATCCAACAAATGGACTGGAGGCTTTCCTCTGGATTTTCTGACCTTTTCCATGTATACCACTTCATTTTGTGGGCCATCTATTAATACTGGACCATCTCACCTTTTCCCCCAGTCATTCTTTTCCTAGATAATATCCATTATGCTGCTCTTTGAATACAAATCCCCACCTCCATTTCCCACCACTTACTCTGAGAATTATAATCAAATAACAGTACCTCTGGAAAGGACACATCAATGAATTGACTTATTGTTCTACTTACCATCTTTGTAACTTCTGAAACCTTAACTCCCTTTCATGGTCTTTGTTGCCCTATATCTGTTGTCTCCCCCATTAGGATGTATGTTCTTTGAGGGCAGGGTCTGTCTTGCTTTTACATTTTTATTCCCAGTGCCTGACACATAGCAAGTGCCTAATAAATGCCTTTCATTCATTCATTTATGTAATTATTCATAATATGTTGCAACCTGCTCATAACCCATCCCACCAGTATCACCATATGTCTCATTTTTTCTTGGGGTCAACCACAATTTTGGCTTTTCAGAGATTGTAGTATTCCATGATTTGTAGCCATATTATATCACTGGAAAATTACTAGTGTTAAAAGATGGATTTTTGTGACAAACAGCAGCTTGAGTTTCCAAAAAAACAGTTTCCAAAAAACCATCAAGCCTATTTTTCCCCTCCTACTCAATTTTAAGCTCAACTCATTGTGCATATTCACTGTCTGTCCTGAGACAAGCATTGATAAACTAATTCCATTGTCTATGCCCCACCCCCAATTTGCTCTGTATTATCTGTGGTGTACTGGGGACCCTTCCCCCTACCTCCCTTCTGAAGGATGCTCAGGTCATTTCCGGTGACCAAATGGATGCTTAGGGACCAGCTTCTGGCTGTGTATGATTCATCATTGCATTGAATCTCTTAATTGGCTATCGAGCTAGAGAAGGGGTGACTAATCCCCTTGGCTTGCTCTCTCCAGGGACACTTGCTTACATTTTGAAGTCATAAGGAAACCGGCTAAGGTAGGCCAGGGGCAGGTCACCCCTTTAGTATATCTATGGAGTGCCAGCTTAGTAGCCAATTAGGGGATAACCAAAAAATGAGTCCTACATGGTTGCAAGCTTATCCCCCTGCAATTCTCTCCTCTCCACAGCTTCAATGTGGTCATTACAAATGGTCATCAAGCATGTTCAAAAGGGGACAGAGGGAAAGGCAATGAAAGGGTACCCCCACCCCACAAATGTATAATTGCTTTCAGCCTTCCCTTGGAAGGATACTTCTCCCTTGCTTTGTATGTATCTTATATGTATACATTTATTTGCACATTAGAATATAAGCCTCCTGAGAGTAAGGACTTTCTTTTATCCTCATAGATTAGCAGTCCTTGTCATATAGTAGGCATTCAATAAATGCTTGTCGACTGACTAGATGTCCACATTATTCCTATTTATATATGTGTACAAATGTATCTAAAGTATAATTAAATTACTTTTTATATATTTTGTATTATTTTTCTGTATGTATAGAACCCCACTTCCCTCTATAAACTATAAGCTTCTCAAGGGCAAAGAAAGTTTTATTTTCATCTTTATAGCCCCAGCACTTAGCACAGAATCTGGCACACAGCAGATACTTGTAAATGTTGACTTGAACTGAATTTCATATAACAGAAGTATTCTTAATACACTTGATTTTTTCCTATATGGGTTATTAAACCAATTTCTTCTAATTGGTCATGAATCTCACTGAGGAGTGTCTGGAGTACCTAGAGCTTTATGCAATGAGTTACAATGGCATTCACCAAAAGGGGCATCTGAAGAAATTCATGTATGAATGAATCAATCAAGGAAAAAGCTTTTATTAATCATATACTAAGTGTGAGAAGCTATACTAAGCACGGGGAAGGCAAAAGCAAGAAGTGAAGCAGTCCCTGTCCTCTAAGAGCCTGCATTCTAATTGGTGGAGACAACACATACTGGGGAACAGGGTTGTGGTCAGGGTGAGTAGATAGAGCACTGGGACTCAGGAATACTCATCTTCATGAGTTCAAATCCAGCCTCAGACTCTTACTAGTTATGTGAGACCAGTCACTTCACCCTCTTTGCCTCAGCTTCTCATCTATAAAAGGAGTTGGAGAAGGAAATGGCAACCCACTCTAGCATCTTTGCCAAGAAAACCCCCAATGGGGTCATGATTTAAACACCTGAACAACAACAGTGGTCATGAAAAGGCTTTATGTTCTGAGGAGTCGTGGGGATGGTGAATGAATCCATTGGGCAGGTAACTGACACACTCTTTCATGAAGGAATGGTAATATGAATTTGATTATTGTACCTAGCTTGAGAGGCATAAAATGTGGGGGGTGGAGAGCTGACAGAGAAAAGAGGGGAGGGGGCATATAGATAGCCTGGATTGATGATGAATGGGATTGGATGGGATGAGGCAATAGTCTGGTCTGGGGTTAACTGAACATATAGTAGGTTGAGTAAATTTATACTCAATCACCAATCAAGACAGCTTTGCCCCAGGTTAGCTAAAATGGCAAGATCGGGGCAGATGACAAGAGGTCCAGATGGAAGCCTGGATGAGATTGGAAGCATGGTCTCATCTGGGATTGCTGGATACAGTGGGCTAGGTGAATTCACATTCAATCACCAAACAATTTAGCTGAGCCCCAGGGCAAAGGTCCATAGCTGACTTGATTAATTTATCATCTATAAGGAATTTCTCTTCATTAAGACTCTATGTAAAAGATAAATAAGAAGACCTTGTCAAAGTTATTTCTTATTGTTTTATGACTCATTTAATATTAATAATCAGGAGATTGTTGGAGAAATTTCACCTTCAACATGAAACCTTTCTACATCCCCTTATAATTTTTTTAATAATCAGCAAACAACAGTGTGAGTATAATCATAATGAGTAAGCTTTGCCACAGAAAAGAGATAAAAACATGCACCTCCCTTCCTACAGAGATAAGAAACTCTGTATAAAGAATATTGTATGTACAGTCAGACTCCATTGATGTGTTGGTTTGTTTTACAGAAATGCTTTTTTCTTTTTCTTTTTTATTCTTTGTTACAAAGGATGGCTTGCTGGGTAAGGGAGGAAGGAGGTATATATTCAACCATGTAAAAATCAAGAGATAGTATAAAAGGTTTTAAATTAAAAACCAATAAAGAGTGAACTTGAGTATTTTCTATAACTTTTGGTCAATAGCCATGGAAAGATATGATCTACTTTTTAAAACATTGTAAAAGTCTGCGTGTTTCTTTCACATCACTTGAAAAGGCTATAAGCCAAGACTAAAGTGGAGAGTTGGAGCATGAGTTTTTGTGTGCAGATGATTGTGCACTCAATGCATCCTCTGAGACTGAGATGCAACAGAACATGGATGGATTCTCTGCTGCTTGTGCTAATTTTGACCTGGCAATTAACACCAAGAAAACAGAGGTTCTCCATCAGAATGGAGAAATTTTGAATGCTGTGGATAAGTTCACTTATACTTTCCAGGGATGTACATATAGATGATGAGATTGACACACACATTGC